TCTTCTCAAACTCTTCTGCTCTTCATCTGTTCCTAGCTGATCTGGGGGCAGGGCTCTCAGGACTCCAGACAGGCCACACATCATCTTGAGCCCAGGGTTTCTGAGTGAAGAAGTGGTGCCTGAGTTTGGCGATCCCGAAAGATCCTGAGCCTTGGAACCCATCCACGCCCAGGCAATGCGTTCCTCGCAGCTCTGTTGTGGCCTGAGCTACAGAGAAAGTCTGCAGGGCACAAGGCCCCTGTTGTGCTTCTCCCACGATGAAGTTGGCTTGCTTTTTAAGCCAAGAGGAAACTTTAGGCAAAGCTGGAACCTTGTATAAAAGCCCTGGGAGCAGGTCTGGTGCATCTGTCCTGAGTCTCAGTCTCTGACTGTCCCTGGCCTTCCAGCAGCCCTAGGCTGAGCCTCCTGGACACTTGTTTCCTGAAATAGCTAACTCGTAAGAGCTTGTGAAACAAAAAGAGGCTATCCGGGTGGCTCGGTGGTAAAGAATCCACCTGCCAATGCAGGAGACGCGGGTTTGATCCCTGGGTCAGGAAGATCCCCTGGAGAAGGAAATGACAGTCCACTCCAGTATTCTTGCCTGGAGAATCCCATGGACAGAGGAGCCTGGCGGGCTACAGTCCCTGGGGTCGAAAAAAGTAGGACACGACTGAGCAACTGAACACGCAGGAGCTTGTAACTCCTGGGAGCTTGGGTGAGTCCCTTCGCCTCTCTGAGTCATTTACTTACTCGTTAAAAATGGGAGTGGTCCTATGCCTGCTTCAGAGCATTTCTATCTGCCTTGGGGTTCTCGCTTAGGGCAGCTTTTGGGGTAACTTCAGCCCATGTTTCTTATGTGCCCTGGCGTTATCCACTCTGGAATTTATCACTTTCCTCTTTCTATCCAACTGCCTCTTCGATAGATGAAGCCTGTAAATAAAGCGTGTACAGAAACCTGCCACCATCTCCAGCTTTTCAGCAGTCAGATTTGGGATGGGTCCTTTGGGAAGATGGAAAATTAACTCACAGAAGATGTAATACCCACAGCTCATAAACATCAGGTCCAAGACCGAAACTCTGGTCTTGTGCTTCCTGTCATTGTGCTCGAGGCTGTGAGAGATGCAGGGCCACAGTGCTCTGCCCCCACCTTCCAGGAACCCTCAGCCCGGCAGGGAAAGAAACCCACAGGCACAGACTTCCACACCAGATGGGATGGGGGGATGTCATACATGCCTGAGGTGTGAGTGTCACCCGCAGAAAGGCAGAGGACGTTGCTTAAGATACCCAGGTGCTTCTTCAACTGTAATACGTAGGAATCCCCTGAGGATCATGTTAAAATGCAGATTCTGATTCAGTGGGTCTGGGGTGGGGCCTGAGATGTTTTTCATTTCCAATAAGCTCCCAGGTGATTCCAATGCTGCTGATCCACAGACCACACTTTGAGTAGTCATGGTTGAGATATCTAGACTTTTCTCTGCAATATCTCAGCCTCCTTCCGAATGTCTAGAAATCAAAAGCAGAGGGTTTCCTAGGTGGCTCAGGGGGCCCAAAATGGATTCAACAACAACAACAAAATGCAGAACAAAATATCAACCACTATTAATACAATAATGTCAGTAAATGTTACTTTGGGGCTATTTAAAGACGGCAGCCTGGGTGGTCTTCAGCACTCACTTTCCATCTGAATATCCGTTGTGCTTCTGATGTCAGGGATTTACAGCAAAGGAAAAAACACAGAACTGAATCTCCACCCTCAATAACCTTACTGTTTACAAAGGAGATGAGTCAGAGTAGACAGCAGGAGAACAAGTCGTCTCCAGTTCCCATATCTACGCAGCTCACATCTACGTTCACAAGAGGACACAGAAAAGCATGAATAGGCCTCGGACCCTCAGTCAGCAGGCATCAGGACCTTCCCAAGCTTCCTGTATCCACTCGGGACCCCCTCCAAGGCATGCTGTCCACTGCAGTGACCAGAATAGGCTTTTTGAAACTGCAGATCTGATCATGTTGCAGCCCCCCACTCCATCATCCCCGTCTAGAGCCCTCCATGTTTTCCCACTGCTTGTGGCAGAGCCTACAACGTCCTGCAGTGCTGGCCTCTGCCTCTCCCTGACCCTTTGTGCTCCAGCCACACTGGCCAAGCTGTGCTCCTTATCACGTGGTCTTTGCATTCACTGTTGTCAGGAACACATGGTTAACCCCTTGCCTTCTTCATCTTATCAGTTATCAGAGTAGGTAGAGTCTCCCTTACCCATTCCTTCTCTCCACTGCCACCATCAACATTTTCTCTCAGGTGTTTTTTTTTTTTTTGGGGGGGGGGTACTGATGCAAAGGCCTCATACTCAACTCAAAACACTCCCAACTCAAAACACTCTCCACCTGGACTTCCTTGGCAGTCCAGAGGTTAAGATTCCGAGCTTTCAATACAGGGGGCACAGGTTCAATCCCTGGAGAGGGAACTAAGATCCTACAGGCTGTGCTGTATGGCCAAAAAAAAAAAACCACCCCCTACCCTACCTGCATGAGCCATGCATGGCTCTAAGCATCAGTCCCTCATTTTCAGTGGATTTTCACCAGCTGTCGTTGGTCTGACTTTAAAAGCTCCTCTCCTTCTGCCAATCTTTGGTGGCTTATCTTCCACCCTTGCTGCCTCTTATGCCACAGCCAGCCTAAGGGAGGTATTTGTCCTGTTCTTGCAAACCTGATGGACCTTCCCAACTATGGCTGCCTATTTTGACCCCACCCCCATCCCAGTCCAAATCTTACGTTTTCTTCAAGGCTCATGTCTTCTATGAAGTCTTCTCTGATCCCCTGGCTGAAAGATATGGTTCCTCAGAACTTCTACAGTACTATGAAACGCTAATAATTTTTACACTGCATTCTACCATGACAAAGATCATTTCTCTGTATGACAGTGTCAATATTATCTATTAATTATTGAGCATTTACTAGCTGAGTATCTTGGGCACATTATGGAAACGTCATGCCTTCATCCTTCATTTGTAAAATGATGGAAATAATAACACTGAGCTCATAGGGTTGTTGTGAGGATTCATTAGAATCACACCTGACACAAAGCACCCAGTTAGTGAGTATTAGCTATTGGTGTGACTATGAGGTGGTGGGGGGGGGGGTGGTACTTTACTTTATATTGTCTCAACTAACCCTCAGACCCCCTGAACTAGGTTACTATTATTATACTTTTTTTTTTTTAACTTGTGGGTTGAGAACTGGTGGGTCTTAAATGAAGTTGTGCACAAGAACAAAAAAATTAAAACTGTGGGGAAATACACATAACAAAAAATTAGCCATCTTAACCATTTTTAAATGTACATACAGTCCAGTAATGTCAAGAACATTCACACTGTTGTGCAGCCAATCTCCAAAACTTTTCGTTTCACAAAACTAAACTTCTATACCTATTAAACAATTCCCCATTTCCTCCTTCCCTAGTCCCTGGCAGGCCCTATTCTACTTTATGTTTCTGTGCATTGTATTATTATACTGGTTTTACAGACCGAGAAAACCAAGGTTCAGAGAGTCATCTGCTTCTAGGAGACAGAATCTGGACCTGAACTCGGGGCCCATGCATACTCTCAGTCATTCTGAAGCACAGTGTCACCTCAGACAGCATCTGTGATGCGTTTTCCTCCCCCCTGACCATCGTGGCCAGTATGTGCCAGGGCCCTCCTCTGGGCCCTTGCGTTTTGCAGCCATTCTCACATGTAATCCTCATGGCAGCCTTGCAATTACTGAGGGGCAGTGTTCTATCTCCCAGCGCAGAGCTGATATAGGACAGATCAGGCCTGATGCCTGTCAATAGATTAAACAGTACTAAATAAGCCTGTGGCACATTTTTAATGCAATTGTTTACATTTTTTCAAAGTGTTGACACTCAGGAGAAAACCAGCTGAAACGCATGAGGTCAGAAAGAGCTTCCCAGTCCCGCCCCCCCCCCCCCCCCCCCCGCAGAGTCAATCTGCTCTTCTCACCCCAGGCCACCCCCAACCCCATCTGCACCCTGTCACCAGCATCGCTGAGCCAGAGCCAGAGCCAGAGGCAGGCGGGCGGGCGGGCGGGCAAAGGGACATCAGAGCCCGTGCTTGCTCTGCTTCCTCCCCTGCCACTCCACCCCCACGTCCTTCCCTCCAACCATGCCCAATCCTGACCATTCTGAAACACGCTCTGTCCTTTCACGCCTCCGTGACTGCGCACATGCTGTTCTGGAAGACTGGAATGCTTTCCCTCCCCTCGTTCTCCACCTCCAAGACTCCTACGGTCTTCGCGAGCCAGCTCCAGTCGCTCCTCGGTGAAGACTCCTCCCCTACCCACCTCCCCAAGCTGTGAGTCCGCCCCTCTTTGGAGCAGACTAGTTCGCGTCGGAGTGCTGCATCTGGGCTGCAGTGACCGTCTGTAACTCAATGTATCCCCCACGCTCCCAGCTCCTTGTGCTAAGATGAGGCTTCATCTCTGCTCCCAGCAGGAGTAAAGAGGATTTTGGATCACTGATTTTTATTTTTTTCATGTTCCTGGTATATTTCAAAATGAAGAGATAACAAGATCACAAATATTGAGGCATCTTTTTCAATGTCTCGCAAATGAGTGCTTCCAAATACAAAAAATTATAATTGTGCTGCTCACAGGATAATTATAGGATTAAGATATATTAATAAATATATATAATTTATTAAAGTGTAAAAATATACTTTTATATTATTTACATTTGTATAAATATATATTGTATTTATACATTATACTATATATACTAAAGACTTACTAAGATATAATAATTTATAGTGCTCAGTAGGCACAGCAGCCTGTTAATAAGAAACAAGCTTCAGGATATGCAAGGAGGCTCTTTGATCAAACTGGTCAGTGGATGTGACATAATGTAAAACCCCATTTGGAGACACTGTCAAAAGCCTAAATTGGAGACTGTAACGAAACTGTTCTCCTGGCCCCCTTCTCCAGTGGCAGGCTGTGCTGCTGCCTCTGCACACAGTAGGCGCTGACTGTATGCTGAAAAATGGGAACAAACACAGCTTTCCAAGTTAGTTACCGAAAACCCACCCACAGTACGTATTCATGAAAAACAATGAAGTCCTGAACAATGGGGCAGGAAGCCACCTCCTTCTCCAGTGACCCCAACCTTCAGAGTCCAGCTGAAGGCTGCAACAGGAAACCCCTCGCCCAGAGTCTTTCCTCCCCCTCCTCCCCACTGCCCACCCCCACAGGGGCACCAAATGCACTCTTGCTTTCCATCCACTCTCAGCCCCCCTCCTTCTCAACCCTCAGAGGGTCCCAGGTGAAAAGAGAAAAGCACTTACTCATAGGAGGAGGCAAGCAGCCAAGCTGGGCTTGGAGAGTTGTCCTGCCCTGAGGCAGGCCTGAGGAATAAAAGGAACGGCGGGCGAGAGGACAAAGAAGGACTTAAAGCTCTGGAATAAGGGGAAAGAAAAGGCCTAAGAAAGTTTACAAAGCAATCTGTCAGAGAAGGGATGAAAAGGGAGCCCCACTGAGCAGAGGGGCTCGGGCACTCACCTCACCTTCGGCCCAGTTAGAAACCTGCAAACTCTGAGCTGATCTCCCTTCCTTGTCCCAGAGCTTTCCCTGGGAGCATGAGGCCTCACCTTGCTGAGTTTTTGGTAGCCCCAAATACTTCTGCTCTACTTGGCTCAATACGCCAGTTCTCCTGAACTCAACAAACTGACTCAACTGCCAGCTCCCTCTGGATTTTCAGCAGAAACACTCTGGATAATAAGGTCACCAGCAGATCTCCACAGCTATCCAGCCACTCTGACTTCTCAGATGTTCTGAGCCAGTGAAAATATCCACAGGCTTTCTGAAAGTCTCTCCTGCCACCAAAGGCAGGATTAATAGTAATAACGATCATCTGAGTGCTCTCTCTGTATGGAGTGCTTTAAATCATCTTACTGCTCACCACCACCTTAGGTATGGATTACCCAATTTCACCAGAAAGGGAAGCGGGCCTGGAGCGATTAAATGACTTTCCAAAGAGATACACAGCCTGGATTCCAACCTAGGTCTGTCTGACCTTGATGCCCACACACTTCCCCCACTCAGGACACCGCCTCTTGGGGATCCTCTATGATTCTATGTTTTTGTGTGTGTGGTTCCCATATTAATTTTAGATGGGGGAGGGATGGTACAATTCTGTGGTATCTAAAAAATTTCTTACCTCACAGTTGGCAGTGGGGAGTGGGGGAGTCTGCCTCCTGGCTGGGTAGGGTCCTGAGTTCTTTCTAAACACTTGAGTAATTAACCATAAATAACTGGGCACTGGGAACAGGACACTCACTAATAAAAGTGTAGCCTAGAGTCACGTTTGATGAAAAAAATTCAAGTCACTGGTGGGTGGACATATCTGCAAAACAAAAGAAAAGCCCCTTTCCCAGCCCAGGCAGAGAAGTCTCCTGTACAGTTAGAGACAACAGGCTTCTGGGCACATGGCCAAGGTTCTGGGGATATTTATAACTTGAAGAGGGTGGGAGTCCCTAATAAGCTGCTATATTCTTTTTCCATCACTTCCCTCTCCAAGGCTACAGCGAGCTCGGAGCTCTCCTTCGCGCAGAATGCCTGCTCTCCCTAGTGCTCCCCTTCCATTGTCTCATTTTCTCATCCTGGCTGGGGAAAGGGAAGGCTGCAAGTCCTTCCGTTCGGAAGAGCTCCAGTTGAATGCAGCTTAGTTGCTGGTGGTATTTCTTGGCTAGTTGCTGTGGTCTCAGAGATCTGCCTAGGAGCCTGTGGTTTCTCTGAGCTGCCTGAGAGTCTGATGTTTCGAGAATTCTGTGAGTCTTTGGGAACCGCCTACCATCTCTGGGCTTTGCCTGCATGTCTACGGATTCGAGATCTACCTGCAGGTCTAAGATATCCAGGATCTGCCGGTGATCCCTAGAATCTTTCCAAACGTCCGCAGTCTCAAGAGAACTCTGCCTGAGGATTTGAAATCTGTTTTGAGGCCTCTTGGATCTTTTGAAGCCCGAGACCTAACGCATCTTTTGCGGGCCAGGAGGTGAGTCTGTTGGTTCTCAATTCGGGTTTTCGGCTTCCTGCCTTAAGTCAGTCAAGGGCTGGTAACATCCTGAGAGCCCGTTGGGCTTCGGCCGTTAGAGGCCCACGATCCCATCGACGCGGGAGGCCGCCAGAAACTCTTTTAGCAGGCAAGCCCTCGGGGATAATACGGACAGGCTTTCCGAACCCCCAGGCCCGGCTCGCGCCACCTTAAGAGGCCTATAACCCACCCTTGCTTCTGACTTCGCTCCGGCTTTTGCTTCCCCTCCGCTAGGCGCAAATCAGCCGGCCGCTCAAGGGGAGCCTGTTTTAGAAGGACGCGGTCGGATATCCCTACAGGGTTAACAGCGATGGAGCCGGGACCCAGCGGGGCCCTGCCGCGGACCTCACTCTCGGGCGGACGGGCTGCGCGGTGCCTCCTGGGAGTTGTAGTCTGCGCAGCAGTGCGAGAATGCCGCGGTGGCTGCTGGGAGATGTAGTGCGTGGGTGGAGCTCAAAGTTCCAGCGCGGCCGCCGAGTCTCCCTTGGGGAGTGGGCGGCTGCTGCTTTCCTCTCAAGTCCGGGTCGTCAGATGAGAGCTAATCCCAGAGGAACCCAACACAGGCCAGCACCTATATTAGGCTCAATGTCGCAGTTAAGCTTAACTTAAGCTCGACTTAAGATAAACTTCTAGGGGTGTGAGGAGAAGCAGGGCAACCTCTCTGGCTTAATCTGGCTGCTCTCTCCAAGAGAAGAAAGTGAAAGATACTCCGCCCTGGCTAGAAGGATGCGCTTTTTTTCTTCAACCTTTTGTTCTTTCCCTCCGTGGCTTTTGGCCTCTTGACTGGCCTTTGTACGACATAATGGAACTCCAACTCCCGACAGGCCACGGGGTCGAACGCAGGCGCGCTAAAGGGGCTCTGCCGGGCTACGAGAGGCGGGCCTAATACTCGGCATCTAATTGGCAGAGTGCTTTGGGAGCTTCGCTCGCTGATTGGCCGAGGCAGCTGCCGGAAAGGGCCCAGCCTCGCCATGGAGGAGCAGAGGCGTTCTGTGGGCTGGGCTGAGAGCCTCCTCCCTGAGAGAGCATCGGCTTGACCCCCGGGTCCGGGAGGGACCGAGCCAGGGGGTTGTCTTATTAAATTCTGGCAGCCTCCACCCCTTGGTGGCGGAGACACAGAGGGCGGGTCGCGCTCGAGAGTCAGGGAGGAGAGTGACCCGGCCCGGGTTCAGGGCCCTCCCCACCCGCCTGGGCGGCCAGAACTCCAGCCCCGGGGAGTGGGCAGGGCCTGTTTCTGTGCCTCACGCCCTGCTTTTCGCCTCCTTTAGCGCTGTCTGCTAGCTGCTTTTCCTGCTGTCTCTCCTGGGAGGCGAATCCTTGAGCCCGAGATGGCAGCCACCCTGCTCATGGCTGGGTCCCAGGTAAGCCGGGGGTGGCTTCTCGGACCCTGCCTGTGCTTAACCACCTCGTCCCCGCGTTTCTTTGCTCTGCAAATCCCTATGGGAAATTCCCTCGGATTAGTAATGCGCTTGCTTTGCCATTCTGCCTCCAGAGACCCAGTATCAGGACAGTATAGCCACAAACACGCATTTATTGAACACCTGCTGTTTGCCTTTCAATACTAGGGAGACAAAGATGGATGGAACGTGCCCTCCCTGTCTGCTCACAGTCCGTGGGAAGACAGATGCGTCCGGTTAGCCATGAAACTAGCGTGATAAAAGCACTATTTTCTGTAGGAGCAAGGTGCTGTGGGAACCAAGAAGTGGGAGTATTCTCTCTGAGGTGTGGGAGGAAGGAGTGGAGCAGAGCGCGGAATGGGCGGCGGGGTTGGGGGGAGGGGGGGGGGGGGCACTGAGGAACAGCTGGTGCTGGAACAGGGTTTCAAGGAATATTAGGATTTCGCTAGTCCGAGGAAGATACTCCAAGAAAAGAGGAACGTTGTAGGTAAAGGTATGGAATGATGTAGATGCTCGATGTGTTCTGAGAAGAGTACTGTTAAGAGGAGGGCAGGGGTATCCGGCCATGGGACCAAAGCAATCTGCTCATAAATTGCTCTCTCCTGAACCACATCTCTTTGTTGCTTACTTATTTCTCCTTTGGATTCTACATATCAGACCTAATGCCTTTTGCCTTCTCAACAATTCTAGCCATGTCTCTCGTTTCAAGAAGAAAAATTGGTACTAACTTCCTAGATACCAAGTATTGAGGAAGCAATGTGTGATTTCAGGCACCTGTGACATTTGAAGATATGGCCATGTACCTCACCCGGGAAGAATGGAGACCTCTGGATCCTACACAAAGGGACATTTACAGGGATGTTATGCAGGAGAATTATGGAAATGTTGTCTCATTAGGTAAGAATTCTCTGTCTTTCTCCACCCCACGTTTTTTGAGACTATCAAAAATGCCTTAGCTCTTTCAACACAACCTAGTTACTTGATTTTTAAAGCACCTAATTGGATTTTGGCGTGGGCTGAGTCCTCAGGCAGATCTTTGAGTGAGGGAATATCAAGGTCATATCGTCTAAGATGAAAGATTGTTTCTGCGCATTTTAGAAACACTCAGATTTCTTGTGCCCTGAATCATTTGCCATTCTCCAGCCTGTTTGTACAGATCACTGACCAAACAGGTCTGACATAATGGTACTTGCCAGGTTATAAATGCCCCTGTAAATGGTGCTTTTACTAGAAGATGAAGGGGTGCTGACCGAGGTTGACAGGAGGGCAAAAGCCACCTTTTTGTGTTTGTTTTGGCTTCAGAGCCCTAGCTTTGCCTCAGGTCCTTTATTTATCCAGAGTAGGTACTTGTCTAGAGATGTTTCAGAGTTGATCATAGATTTTGAGTGTGTCAGATGCTGTTCCAGGAGAATCCTGAACTAAATGAGATCACAAATTCTATTAAAGAGGGAAGCTATTTTTTTAATGGCCTGCAAACCTGTCTTTTCTGTGAGATACCCTTTTGTCTGGGTGCAACTAGAATAAACTATTCATGAGCTGAACAGTCTTTTGACTCACTTTGTCTCCTGTTAGGACTTGACAGAAGTTAGCAACCATGTATGGTTCACTAGGTTATCTGCCATTCATTAGGATTATTTCTTTTTCTGAAAGCTTTATCCCCATAGCTTTTAACAAACAAATGGCAACTCTGAAGGGTTTTCTATTTAACCTGGACTCTCTCTCTGATGTCTCAACTTTCTTGGATCCTTCCTTTAGAAATGCAACTAGAAATGACACTATCTACCCAGATCTGTTGTAGTCAGGAACCCAAGTATTCCACTTAATTCAACAAAAACAAGAAATGAGAATCTTAAAGAAATGTGAATTTATACGTCAGTGGTCCAGCCCAAGGAATGCTTGTTGGAAAGATGGAAACATGGAAGCACCAAAAAAAATTGTTTCTTGCCCAAATAAGTTTGGGAATGGGTTAAATAATGTTTACAAGGCTTTTTTTTTTTTTTTTCTTTTTACCTTCAGACTCCTCAGAACCTATAATCTGGTATCAGGGCATTTTAAGTTTCTAGGAAGAGAATGTTGTATGCACCATTTACCAAACTAATTTATCCATGGACCTTTTTCCCCCAGAATACCTAGTAACCTCTTTATAAAAAGTGTACCAAGAGACACAACTTGGAAAAGCCGTGACTGGTAGAAAGTTTCCTATACACAGTGACTTTGTGTATTTTAATTTTCTTTTAAAGTCTTTACCTAGTCAGTGCCAAAAGCATTCTGAACTAGGCATCTTTTTTGCCTTCTCCAACTGTCTCACTTCTGTTTGCATTAAAAGGCCAGTGAGGAGGACATCCCTTGCAGTCCAGTGCTTAAGACTCTGCTCTTCCAATGCAGAGGGTATGGGTTCAATTCCAGTCGGGGAACTAAGATCCAAAAAGCTGCATGGTGAGGCAGAGAAAAAAAAAGTACCAAAAAAAAAAAAAAAAAAAGCCACTGAAAAGTAGCAAGTAACATTTGGCAGTCATTTTTCCTGTCAAGTGAGACTTGATAGAGATTGATAAAAATCTGTTTTTCTCCATGCTAACCCAGTAAGTCCATTTTTTCCCCCTAGTAGGTGCTTAGTGGATATTAAATAATGCTAATGATGAAGACTTGACAAGAACATACAATATACACACACATGCATTCACATACAAAATATCTAGGCTCTTTGTTTTTAGAAGTTCTAATTTAGAGTCTTATATTTTCTTTTATATATATATATATTTATTTATTTGGCTGTGCTGGGTCTTAGTTGCGGCACATGGTTTTAGTTGCAGCATGTGGGATCTAGTTCCCTGACCAGGGATCGAACCCTGGCCCCCTGCACTAGGAGCTTGAAGTCTTAGCCACTGGACCACCAGGGAAGTTCCTAGAATCTTTTGTATTTTCTATTTCTGGTTTTCTTCTTTTGAAACACCAGGAATGTATATAATTTGAATAAAGAACCATTAACTGTAGTGATTCAAAGCATTAACTTTTATCAGACACCTGGATTTGTATCTTAGCTTCACTATTTACTAATGTGTAACCTTTTGTGAACCATTTCTGTGGACCTTGGGTTTCTCATTCATAAAGTGGAAATCATCATGATGTCTGGTGCTCAGGGTGGTTGAGATAATTCACATAAAGAACTTAGCACAGTGCCCATCACACAGTAGATCATTTTTGTGTGTGTTTACCAATAATATTCTTTACCCTTGTTTACAGATTTTGAAATCAGGAGTGAAAACGAGGTGAATCCAAAGCAAGAGATTAGTGAAGATGTAGAATTTGAGACTGCATCTGAAAGACCTGTTGGTAATACTGAGGAAAATCCTGAAAGTGAAGAGGCCTTTGACAACAGGGATAGATCAGAAAGACAGTGGGGAGATTTAACGGCAGAAGAGTGGGTCAGCTATCCTCTCCAGCAAGTCACAGATCTGCTTGTCCACAAAGAAGTCCATACAAGCATCCGATATCATATATGTTCTCATTGTGGAAAGGCCTTTAGTCAGATCTCAGACCTTAATCGGCATCAGAAAACCCACACGGGTGACAGACCCTATAAGTGTTATGAATGCGGGAAGGGCTTCAGTCGGAGTTCCCACCTTATTCAACATCAAAGAACACACACTGGGGAGAGGCCCTATGACTGTAACGAATGTGGGAAAAGTTTTGGAAGAAGCTCTCACCTCATTCAGCATCAGACAATCCACACTGGAGAAAAGCCTCACAAATGTAATGAGTGTGGGAAGAGTTTCTGCCGGCTGTCTCACCTCATCCAGCACCAAAGGACCCACAGTGGGGAAAAACCCTACGAGTGTGAGGAGTGTGGGAAAAGCTTCAGCCGGAGCTCTCACCTAGCTCAGCACCAGAGGACCCACACAGGTGAGAAGCCTTATGAATGTAACGAATGCGGGCGAGGCTTCAGTGAGAGATCTGATCTCATCAAACACTATCGTGTCCACACAGGGGAGAGACCCTACAAGTGTGATGAGTGTGGGAAGAATTTCAGTCAGAACTCTGACCTTGTGCGCCATCGCAGGGCCCACACGGGGGAAAAGCCGTACCACTGTAATGAATGTGGGGAGAATTTCAGTCGCATCTCACACTTGGTTCAGCACCAGAGAACCCACACTGGGGAAAAGCCATATGAATGTAATGCCTGTGGGAAAAGCTTCAGCCGGAGCTCTCACCTCATCACACACCAGAAAATTCACACTGGAGAGAAGCCCTACGAGTGCAACGAGTGTTGGCGAAGCTTTGGTGAAAGGTCAGACCTAATTAAACACCAGAGAACCCACACAGGAGAGAAACCCTATGAGTGTGTGCAGTGTGGAAAAGGATTCACCCAGAGCTCTAACCTCATCACACATCAAAGAGTTCATACAGGAGAAAAGCCTTATGAATGTACAGAATGTGAGAAGAGTTTCAGCCGGAGCTCAGCTCTTATTAAACATAAAAGAGTGCACACTGACTAAGTCCTGTAATTATGAATGGGGAATGATTCATTTGAAGGTACAATTGTATTCTATATCAAAGAGCTCTGTCAAGACTGAAGCTTCTTTTACTGTGCTGAATTTTTTTCTTGTGGGTCACCATTTAAAACATCACAGAAGACAAGCCACTTGAAATTCTTGACCCATGGCTTTGGGAATATTATTCTCTCTCGCAAAATAGTGATTTGTATTCCCTCAGTACTAGCGAATTATTTCATCAAAGTCAGCCTCACAAATAATTGGAAATCTGAAGACCAGGTGATAAATGCTGGTAAATGCTCAGGCCTGGAAATGGAGTAAATCTTTCAAAGTAATTTCTCCCATCCTTGACCCAAAGAGCTATACTAGGAGAAATGTTAAACTGTGATAGGGTGGTCACAGCTGCTTTGGAACAAAACAACCAGAGACTTTGCCTGAATTGCCGCACCTATTCACTCACCATGGTAGCTGGGCACATACATCATCCCTTCAAAGGGCTTTCTCCCTGAGTTGCTCATGCATTTGTATCTATCTTCCTGAGAGCAGGATTCTGCACGGTGAAGGCAATGATCGATTTTCTCCTCATTGTTTCTAATTAACTTTTCTTAAAGCTTTCCTCTTTGTGAAAGCTAACTGAAGATTCAGATTGAAAGGAAAAATGAAACACAGATTTGGGGACCAAGGACTCATCAACAGTGGTGATTTTAGCAAGAGATGCCCACTGTTATTGCCATTGATCAGAATTTATGAATTTTCTTTGGGGATCACTGTAGGGAATATTGTAGGGAAAATATCTTCAAGGAAAGCTAGGACCATAAGTGATGGTGGAGCGTAAGGAGCAAGTGGAACTGACTGGGGAAGGAAGCATAGAGTTTCTTCCCAAGGAATCAGGTCGTTTCTGTGTTCTTTCCCCTCTACCCTTTAAGATCAAATCTCCCTGTACTGCTAACTCTAGGATTTGATAAGGGCCACATCCCAGTGTTTATCTTAGCTTGCATAAGGGCATGTGTATGTACAGTGAAATGTGTATTCTTGTTGTTTTTCCAATAGCAGAAACTGAATTCACACTGAATTAGCATGCTCTTGGGTGATACTGATCATGTGACAGAAAAACCGACATAACGCCAATGTGAAAAATGTCCTTTTGTTCACTTTATGAAAAAAATTTAAACACTAGTGCTCTTGTGTGCACTCTCCTGAAAGATCTGTACAGAACCAAGCACTTGTTTATATGTATTAGTCTGTTGGAGATAATTACCAAATAGGTTGATTGTCTTAGTCTCAGACTGAATGATCTTCTCTTTGCCCTAGTCACAAGGAATTAATAAACCTAGATAGGAATGTATTTCCATTCTCTCAGCTTACAAATTTAACCTGTTTATGTCAGCGTTGACCCAATTTAAGCCCAGTAATGTCAGTTCTCCTTATCTCAGTTCAAATAGGATTAAGAAATACCCCAGATGTCGATGCACATCCAAGCCTTTGGGCTGGGAGTGGGCGGGAATCAATGTCCAGGAATGGGGGCTAGAGTAAGGAGTTCACTTTTTCTTGAGTCTGCCCCAAATACTGTGCTGTACTGTGAGTGTTGTACATTTGAAAACCTTTTGCCATAACTCTTTGGGACTTGGTGTTAAAAGAGCCAGTGGTCTTTCTCGGGTAGTGTACTATAGTGATTTCCTGTGACCCACCGCCCTGTGGGTCTGCATCCCTTGCAATAACACAGCCTCAGAAGTAACAGTGAAGTACTCCACCAAGTAGATGTCTTTGTGTTGCCACTCCTGTTTACGCACAGATTTGGTTTCCCTCTGTTAATTGTTGAATGACCTACATGTTCCTGATGACTAAAGTCAAACGTGTCTTTTTCCCATATCAGTGTTGCTGATGGTTTTAATGAATACCAAAATTCTCCTGTTGTTTCTGTGAGCTGCTAGGGGCATTAGCTTCGGAATGGCCAGAGAAGACATCATCTCCATGACCTAACTATATTTTATCCGCTTTTCCTTCCCTATTCTCCTGCCTTACCCCCAACCTGTTCCTTTTGCTGCTTTTGGCTTCTAAGTGCCCCAGCCTTCTCAGCAGACATGTACACTCCATTTGGGAAGTTAAAAGGGCAGAGGGCCAGACCAGCTCTATCTCCTCTCTTCCTGCCAGTTGTTGCCCATTTGCTGCGTTGAACTCTGTGTAAAGTTACCCATCAATCTCTCTTTGCTAAAGCTTTCTGCATGCCTTCTGCTCCCAAGTCTCTGGCTGCTTCTGCACATACCCTGAACACATTGTGCCTGTTTTCTATGGTTGTGGAGAGTGAGTGAAAAAGTTAAGTATGTAGCGCAGTTTTCCTTCTGGTATTGGTCACAGTTATACTAGTGTCTATCTACATCTGTATTATTCTAACAATATTCTGTAATTAAAAGTAAAATTTTTAAAATCAAAAAGCGGAGAATTATTTTAGTAATTCAGCACCAATTCACAAAACAACTTTTCATCGGATTCATTAAAATTGGGCACGATTGGTTTTTTATATTGATGGCTTTGTACAGATGTTCTTGTGGGAAACTGGGAAGTGTCTTCACATATTGGTCAGCCTTGTGGATATTGCCATATTTTGGGGAGATGCAAAAACCTGGGCATTTCCTATGAAGATTAGGCTGGTGGCAAAGCAACATGGAAATATTTGGTATGGGTAACTCATTAACTCTGGGGAAGGAAAACAAAAGCAAAAAAAAAAAAAAAACCCAAAAGGAAAAAATGAGGGGAGTCCATATTGCTTGAAGGAGATATTTTTGGATATCTGATAATACTAAAACAGTTTCTACTAAATTATTATTAGGATCCCAGAACAGAGATATGTCTTAAAAATAATCAAAGGCTCTCAATTCATGACAAAATTTCAGTCTGCCTAAGGCAGTGATTATTTTTTAGTAGGTTGTGGCCACAATCTTCAAATTTCTTACAAGTAATTTTATCTTAGGAAGCCTTTTTTTTTTTTTAATGGAAGACCAATTTAGACAGAGGTAGGGAGTAGAAATGCTTTAAACTGGGGGAAAATACAAATATGAAAGAAAAATTTTAATTTACCCAATAACCAAGACTTGAAAGAGATTTTGTAAATTATCAGACTTTTGGAGGGGAGTGGTGAGGGACTGTGCCACATGGCTTCTGGGCTCTTACTTCCCCAACCAAAGATGACACCTGTGCCCTTAGCAGTGAAAGCTCAGAATCTAACCACTGGATCTCCAGGCAGTTGGCATAAACATTTCTTAAAACTTTTTTTCTCCTTCCTACACATTCAGCATTTTTTATTTCTGGAAGGGAAAGTTCAAGGAAAATGCTGGAGAAATTGACCTGGCACCTCTCCTTCAGGGTATTTAATATGTTAATATTTCACCATTATTCTAATAGAGGCAGATTTCCTTCTCTGAATTTTCTCTAGGTGGCTAGCCCTTGGTTAGGGTTGTGCTTCTAGGCCATTAGGACTCCACTGAGTCCATTGAAATGATAATTTGTTAAATGGTTCCATAGTGTTTCAAAGGTTAGTGTTCCTGCTGAAAAAGGAGTTCTGTGCCTCAGGAGAAACTTACTCTTTGAAGCATTGGTTAGATACCCGTATCTGCACAGTAGAGGAGCTGCCGACTGGGACCGCCTTATCTCTAGGAGACTTCAAGATAAAAAGGCTGTTAGTGAAAAACAACTGAGGAGTAACATGGATTGAAGAAAATTACCCTGTAATGAACTAAAATGGTTTCATGGTGAATCTCATTGTGTTTATCTGTTTTCCTAAATGGTTCGTACACAAAGTTTGTTTCATTTTTACCTTCTTCAAAGGTGCTTTTTTTTTTTTTCCCAAAGGTGCTTTTGTTTTTCCCTTTGGGAGAGACTGAGGCTGATGATATCAAACTCTCACTTTGAATTTCATAGCATCCCCTATGGCTGCCTTCTAGACATCACTCAGAAATTACCCAGGCAGACCTGAAACTGAATCTACCACTTTGTTCTATCACCACCATCACCCTTCACCTGCTTCTTCTGTACTTCCAAGCTCAGTCAAGGTCTAGTCATCCATGCTAGAAACTTGTATTTCAGTATTTGAAAACTGCTCCTTAAGCCACCCTTCCAAAAGCAAGCATGAAAATCAGTTGCATAATTAGTCTTCCAGTCATTACCTTGCTACCTCCTAAATATTTCTCAAATTTGTCTACCTGCTTTCTGTATTGCCCCCACTTATCATGTAACCTTGGGCAAGTTACTTAGCTTCTCTGTTCCTTGGATTTCCCATCTGTAAAGTGGTGGGTAATTATACCTACCTCACAGAATTGCAAAGATTAAATGAAATAATAGAGCTCAAAATATTAGTTGCAATTATTTAGACCATCCCCAAGCCACATCCTGCTTACTGAAACAACCTCCTAATGAGTCTCCTCTATTTTCAGCCCCCTCCCAACTGTTCTCCCTAGCTGCAGCTGGAATGGCCTTTCTGAAGGGCAAACCCATTCTCGCCACTCTTTTGTGCAAACTCCCTCACGTTTCCCACTGCCAGTGGCGCGGTGTGTGACGTCTGAGGGAGTGAACAAGAGCTGCCCTCTGCTGCCCTCCCGAGCTTCAGTTCTCTGCGCTTCCCCTGCGCTTGCAGCACTCTCCAAGCTGCATCTCTTCCCCTCCACTCTTCTGGTCAGCTTCTCCTCATCCTTCAGGTTTCCATGCTTAGCTTGTTCCAGGGATCCTTCCCTGATCCCACAAGACAGGATCAGGTGTTCCTGTTGTGTTCCCTGGGTTTATCCCAGTCAAAGCACTTTATTCCTATTTTGTAAATGCCTGTTTACTTCTTTGTCTCCTCCACTAGATTTTTATATCCTCCAAGAAATCACTGTGTCTTGCTCACCATTGTATCTTCAGTCCCTAGCAAATGTTTGACTTAGAATAGGGAGGCAACAAATATGTCTTGGATAAATGAAAGGAGTTGATGTATCAATTTCATTCCATTTAGTGGGACTGGTGACTTCATTTCTGATTTTTCACCACACAAGCAACTCATAAAAGAAAGTCTGTAGAAACAGGAGATATTCTGTCATTGCATATCTGGTGGGGCCTCATGCAAGAGGGCAAAAGACTCCCAGAGGGTATGTGGTCCTCCCAAGGTAAAACGAGGATAAAGTCACCTACTCTTGAAGCGTCAGTATTTGATGAATCATTGTCATCTTTGGAGGGTTATCTAGGTTTAGACATTATGGCAACTTTGGTAAAATGTTGCAAGGCAAGCTCTCAATACAGGGAGCTTGGGCAGGATTCTAAGCTCCCAGCTGTAGATTTGGCTATTGGTCAACCTCTGAATTCTCCAAGCTGATAATTCTCCAAGTTGAGCATTATAAACCAATAGGTGTTAATATTTTAAGGAGGATCCAGATTCCTTTGAGAATCTAATGAAAGTTTTGACTCTTGTTTGAGAGTTCTTTATATATTTTGGATACAGGTCCTTTATCAAATACATGATTTGCAAATATTTCTCCTAGTCTTTGACTTTTCATTACCTTAACAATGTCTTTCAAAGAACCAAAGTTTCACATTTTGATGAAGTCCTGTGTTCTAATAGGATTTTTACCCAAGATTTCCTTTTCTAAGTCTCCTTATTGATAGTTCTCAAGTTACAAGACTCAATCTTTGTTTTTTAGACGAGGGAGGGAAGAAGCATGCTTTCTAGATTTCACCTTCATTTGGTTGTATCCACTCTATTGGAATTTGGGTTTTAGCTCAGGTAATATTGCCATTATACCAGAGCAACAGGGCCATCTTTCTGAGCCCTGTATATTAAAGGGTCCTCCTCCAGTTGCACCTTTCCCCGTGGGAGCAGAGGAATGTGCCATCTAGAACTCATACTCCTGTCTCCCCTTCTAGATCAACAACTTCAGTTTTCTAGGGCCTTGGACACCTTTGCCCACTTCAAGCCTCTTCCCCAAGTTTGTTCTCTTGAAGGCAAACCAAGCTCCATGTGTGTACACATAGCCCTTGGTTTGGGAAGATGGACAGAGATTGGACCTGCAGCCACACATGTGAACATGAGGGCCCTCCTGGAAGAGGACAAAGCCAGAATAGGAAAAGAAGGGGGACAAGCTTTCATTTGTACTCTAGCTCAAGTCCTAGTCCCAGCCTCCAGGCATACAATGAATTGTTCACACCAGTGACTTATTAGGAGTCAAAACCTATGATATCCAGATTTCTGAGGTGAGTAATTTGTTGGATGGATGATGATGCTATGAGTGGAACCCGGGCATACAAAGAGGAGAAATCTGGTAAGGGTACAAAGCATAGAAGTTAATTCATTTAATAAAAACTTGTTGAGCACCAACAGTATACTTGGTATAGGACTGAATGAGATGAAGGCTCTGCCCTTATTGAACTTGTATTCTGTGGGGGAGATGGACAAAGGCATACATAAGGTGAGGTGGTAACAAATGCAGTAAATAAGGGAAGCGGAGTGAAGAGGACTACTATTTTAGAGAAGATAGTAAAGACTCTAAGTGGTGACATTAGAGAGGAGTTCTGAAGGTGTCAGGATATCTGGAGGAAAGTGTTCTAAGTACTTAATTTACTAAAGAGCAAATGTGAGGGGCTGAGGCAGTGGTTGGCATGCTGGAGGACAAGCACCAGGTTGGGGTGGGTGGAACTCAAGTGAGGAAGGGGGCAAATGATGGAAGATAAAAACCATTTTTAGAGACTAGTTGTGGAGTTCAAAGAACTTCTTAACATCCAAACACACTCACATGCCCAGCAGGTAGTTGAGAATATGAGTTCAGAGCTTAGGACCCAAAAGGGACCAGTAGGTAAGTAGGAATAGTGATGGGGTTTCCCTAGTGGTCCAGTGGTCAAGAATCCACCTCATAACACAGGGCACACTGGTTCGATCTCTGGTCTGGGAAGATCCCACATTCCATGGGGCAACTGAACCTGTGTGCCACAACTACTAAGCTCCTGCTCTAGAGCCTGGGAGTTGCAATTACTGAAGACTGCATGTTCTAGAGCCCATACTCCACAACAAGAGAAGCCACCGCAATTAGAAACCCATGTGCCAAAACTAGACAGTAGTCCCTGCTAGACACAGCTAGAGAAAAGTCTGAGCGCAGCAGTGAAGACTCAGCACAGCCAAAAATAAATAAATTTATTAAAGTGAAAAAAAAAATGAGAATAGTGAGTATGGAAATGAGTAGTGAAAACCATGCAGGTGACTGGGGTGGCCCTAATAAGAGTGTGAGAACAGCATTAAAGGTGGAATCCTGGGAGCACCCATATGTAAAGATGGGCAGAAGAGAGGAGTATTACAGAACCCACAGAAGAATCAGGAGAGGAGCGTCACAGGGCAAAGGCCATACATTTCAAGATGTTCAAATGTAGTAGATATCTAGTGAGATACTCTATTTGAAACTTTGTAAATGGAAAAACTTCT